ATAAACTGGTTTCTGTGGTGGAAACATATTAGCCTAAAAATACAGCACTTCCACCTGCTTTCAGCATTAATTCAGGCCCTGCTTTGGATAAGAATTAGAAGATACTGAGAGGCCTCTTTGTTCTGTTCTTCACATAATTACCAACAGCAATGGTTAACTCTTCCTTCCAGAGAAAATGTCCATGTTTCTTTCTGGAGGTCTTTCACCTAGTAGCACACCTTGGAGAAGTCAAGACCGGCTTAAGACAAGGAACTCCAGGCAGAACTCAGATGCAAAATGTCAGTATTTAGGAGGTGGTAGAAGAAGATACAGACTACCAAGGAGGCATCTAGAAATCATCACATATACAACTAGGTGTGATGTTAGAAAAGCAAAACCTCACCTACAACTAGTAGCTGGAAGGGACACAAAGTCCAGCAAGAAGAGCTTCTATCACTACTCTGGCAGTGGAAGCAATCTGTGGACAAATCAGAGAGCAGGAGATGTCATTTACCCCAGCTTCAGCATAGCTTTCCACACTGCCTCCCTCAATATTCTCATAACCAAGTGCAGACCTCACAGTCTAGACAGGCAGGCAGCTAAATGGGTTAAAAAAACCCAACAAACAGAAGCACAGTGGTGAGGCTCAGAGGGCAGGGGATAATGGGTCCCCCTCCCTATGGGTGAGTCCTTCACTGACCCAGTGACATCAGCCATGGGATATCTATTGCTGTGGACACATGCCTACCACTCATACGCAAAAACATTCCTGTTGTTTTATTAAATATGCCATGAAGCCTGGCAAGGAGAGGATTAGAAACATTCATCTGGAATTTATCACATCATTAAAAGCCCCAGTATGATGGCAGCTAACCACTGAAGGACAAATAAACTGAAAAGGCTTATGGGACTGATCAATCATACCAGGAAATATACTTCACCCTGCAGTGAGGGGGACATTCACAATCATTCCAATCAAACCACTACTCATCAGCAAAACATAAGGCAGCCGTCCCGCTCCTATTCATGCCCAATTTAGAAGTGGAAAAACAACTGGAGTATCTTAAGTGCTGCTGGCATCTGCCTACAAGGGAAGGTGGTTTTGCAATCTAATGCATTCTCTATTGTTACTATTCACATTATTGCCAAGGAAGAAAAGTACCTTGACTGTTTCTTCTGCCAACCATCAGCACATCTAAGATAAGTCTGAGGTGGCTTACTCAAGTGAGCGTGGGATGAGGATCCCTTTAGAGCATCAGTCAAGTCTCTTGAGACAGCTTTAAATTCTGATTCACTTTCCATGCATCCACACAAGGAGGCGTATGATCTAATTCTTTAAGCAAAGTCAGGAACAACTTGGCTCCCTGCTTTTCCAGAGGGATAGGAATTAGACTCCAATGATTAATTCCTTTCTCTGCTTTATATTTGCTTACTTATTTTTCTAGATCATATAAAAAATAATTGTGCTGAAGTAGGAGAAAACTACCTAAATGACAAAAGTGTCTGGTGACTCAGGAGACAAGGACATGGAGAAATGGTTGGATGAGTTAGGGAAATAAGAGCAGTCTTGGAAGTTGTCTGTGCTAATGACAGAAGACCAACATTTGTCTCTCAAATTCTTGGTAAGCTTTCCATGTTCACTTCTGGTCTGAAATAAGCTGTATCTTACACAGGAGAGGGAAAAGACTTTGGAAAATTATCAATTCCTCAGTCTAGCCTTAAGAAATGGAATTACATTTGGAAGAAACATCCTTGAATTAAACTAAAGCTGATGATGATATATGAAGGATAGAATAATTACGTCCATTGGAAAAAGTACTTTAAAAAAATACTAATACAAATAAATAATTGGACAGAAAGACGTATCATTAGTTCTGGATCAGTGATCTCCAACCTTTGCCCTAGATGTTAAGACAGAAAGCATAACAGACAAATTTCAAGAAAGTTTTGAAAAGTATCTCTGATTTTTCTTTTTAAAATTATTATACTGGAATGCAGACTGAATAAAATAATAATAAAAAAAAAAAACTAAAAAAAAACCTAAAAAAAACTTATGCTCCAAAAGAGGAGCTGTCAAGTTTTACCTGCCCAAATCTAGCTGACTTTCCAGAACACTTCTTTTGGCACATGGTTCTCTGGCTTAGCAGACACATTCTTATCTGTCTCTGGATGGCGAAGTAGAGCCTTTACAGGAAAGATTAACTCAGCTATCTTGCCTTTAAACATCCAATAAAAGCAAACCACCACTTTATAGGCCAGTCCACCAGATTTCTATTACTGTGGGTAATTTAAACAGAGGCAGTCACTTTCTTGGGGGATGTGCCTACCCAGAAGTGATAAGGCATGCAGATGGGCCAGTTCAGGGATACCTTGGTCCCAGCATGCCACACTGCATTTGTGAATAGACACAGCATTTGGCATTTCTGAGCTGACATGCCAACCTTTTCATTATAATACCAACTGTCTCCATGAGAGATGTGACATAGTGCCAGCATGGGACTGAAATCACAAGGAAATCATTAAAAAGGATTGCCTTGCTGCATTTCGTAAGTCTCCAAAGATAGTCTCAAGACCAAAGGAGAGACTACGTGTATTAACAGGGTAGAAAAAAGTTTGTTCAGAAAACCAGTGATAGAAACAAATGGAATCTATTGCAAACTCCTTTAAATATAAATCTAAATATATCTGCTTCGTATGGACTGTTGCTGCAGAAATTGTAGGATAAAATAAAACCCGTTTCACTACAGCACATCCCAGATCTAGATTTGTACAGAGGAGGCACTCTCAGGACAAAGTTATATATTATGCCTTTAGATAATTTAACATGTAACCATATGCCGATGGAGACGATGCTATTCATGCCTCCTCCCCCACAATATGCAGAGTACTCCCTTCCTCCCATTTCACCAGTGTTTGCCAAAAACTGTACCAAGCTGATTCAACACTGACTTGAATGTGCTAAAATGAACAACTTTCTGTGGGATTAGCAAATTGAATTAACTCAGTGAAGGGTCAAACAAGTGCTGAAGCAATGGGACTTCACCCTAAGACATTGAGATTGGAGTTGTGCCTCTCCTCCACCACACAGGTGTGAAAAGACAGCACAGGTAGGAAGGAGCTGGGGACCCTTGACAACAGAAACTGAAACTGCAGAACTAACAAAGTAGAACAGCCCAGGCACCGCAGACCTGTACGAGCTGTATTGCTTTGGTGCTTCCCCCCCTTTAACCCTACTGAGCTCCTGTGCACTCAAATATCCTCTCCCCACTCCTTTCCCTATTCCTTCACTTGTCCCACATAGTATCTATCCTCTGACCTTTACTATCCCCAAATCCTTATCGCCTTTCCCTACTGTTTCTTTTTGCCTACTTACAATCACAACAAAAACATTAGCATTAATGTGACACTCATCACCACTGGCACAATCGCCGAGCACACACATCCTGCCCATTCCCCCTTCCTTCTTCCATTTACTTGCACCGTTCAGGAGTGGCAACCACAACACTTTCATGCAATGACTTGGGTAACACCATGCTGCAGTAACTGCCACAGAACACATGATGACTAGTGACAGTCTTCTGATTGACCTGACACTGTCAATACACAACAGGATTTTTTTTGTAACTCTTGCTTTTGCAGGACTCTGTATGTTCACAAAGGGTCTGAACCAACCTCCAAGTAGCCATCCCTTTGTATTGCTTAGGGAGACAAACACTATCTGTGAAAGCATGTGGGCAGAAACGTAAGCAAAACACCAAGGTGATGAAGAATAACATTGAATGTCAATGTACAGTGGGATTTTCATAATTTTATAACATCCCAGCTTCTTTCCCACATTGCAGAAAAGCAAAATAAAACGTAGGTGGAAGTCCTGTTGTTATTAGCATGCAAAGAAAATGAACTTATTTAAATTCCCCCATATGTTCTGGCCAACCATCTATGAGTAATTCTCAACATTTCAGTCACCTGAAAAAAAGACAGTGAGTTCTAGGCACAAACACTTCCTAAGTAGTTAATACCCAGGATCACAGACGATCAAATCATGGTGTTTCATTCTTTCTGTGGGCTTTGTTTCGCAACTGGCTTCCTGGCTGCTTTTTGTCTCTAGCATTTCTCTCCTGCTTCTGGCAGATGAAGTGGAGGTGGAAGAGAAAAGGGAGGGAAGTTCTTGGGTAGCATAAGGATTACAGTAACTTCCAATCCTTCAGCAAGAAAGAGCTTGCTCAGGGAATAGATAGCCTAATGCTCTTCCACCTCACTTAATTTTCATGTTTTTAAAACTTACGTTTAGAGTTGTTTGCAATTATGAAGTTATACAACCCAGATACAAAGTTTACTACATTTATCTCCTTTCTGTCCCCAAATCCACATGGAATGTACCTCTCATCCACATACTTCCTCCACTTTGTCATTGCTGTGGGCAGTATGAAACAGAAAACTGCAATTAAAGAGATCCTCAGTCATACACCTACAGGTCATTGACATTTGGTTCATACCCAAGCCTGATATGAATGTAGATGCCACTCATCAAAAGGACAGTTAATGCCATGGGTAACAAATCATCTCAGCTCTCTAAATTAAACAACAGTATTAGCACAGGGACAAAGTTACTTTCAAAGCATTCTTGCTATTCTGTCTGATTACCTGTCCTTGCTCAAAACAAAGGGATAACTGTCTTCACATTGCTCTACTTATGTTTCCTTTCAGTGTTCTGAAATAAGAGCTGTTCAAATACTTGAGTTTTGTTTTCAGTTGGAAAGGTCATCTGGGGTGTGTGGCAAAATGAATCTGTACACTTTTTTTTAACAAGGAAAAAGGAAAAGAGATGGGTTACAGGGAAGAGGGAAATGAAAGTTTCCTGCATCTTCATTTTCAAATTTGCAAAAGTCTCGGAGAAGTTACAGAAAAAGTATAATTAGTAAAATTACAGTCTTATCTATAGTATAGACAGTAAAATCTAACAGTCTAAGAGCCTACAGAATCTAATTCTCTTTTGAAAAAGAAAGGCAATGACTACTTACATATAATATGTAGGATATAATCCTTCAAAATACCAGCAATGCTTTTTGGCCTCTGTACACTACAAAGAAAGAAAAATATGATATTAATATTTACATAGGATGATGTACAGCTATAAACACAAGCTTAGAGTATTTATAAATACTGTGACTCTGAGCAGTTAGGAAAGGTTTATATTCCCAAAGATTTCCCAATCCAGATACACACAGCAAGAGGGAAGTCAGTTCACGTAAATGGCAATGTGTCCTGCCAGGATCCAGATCCCCCATGCAGCCCCTTGTCCGCAGGGCCCCAGCAGCTTCCCACAGCTCCCGAACAAAGTCAGTACATTTGGCACAGGATCCAGCTGCTTGTGTTCTCTGGCAGAACTGCTGCCTTAAAAGACCATGGACAACTTAAGAGCCCATGTGTGGTTAAAGCCCCTTACATGACCTCCAAGGCATAAGCAATTTGATGATACTACACATATGAGTACACAGTAAATTCAACAGTTATAGGGAATTATTTATCTTTCTGGGAGTGTGGGACTTGTGAAGCCAGGCTCAGGAAGGAGCAGAACGGAGAACCACTTATCCCATCTCCTCTTCCTACAGCTTGGAAATGTCTCAACTGTTCATTAAAGAAAACTGCTTTCTGCAGCTCAGGGGTATTGTTCTCTTTTGCAGATTGCCAGTGCATCCCTGAGAAAGGATTGTGACAGGCATTTTCTCAGCATGTGTGCGCCAGCGACGTGAGAAGCGCTCATCATTACGGGCACTGCCAGAGCGCAGGCGGCAGCTCACAACAATAGCAGCCCCTAATAAAGAAAACCAGATGTCAAGCTCCAACTCTACACAATGCACAAAATATTTCTGTGTATCCCACTGACATCACTAGCACAGAATGCCATCCTCACTGCAGACACAACTCCAGCAGCTCTCCTGCAAGCTGTATTACCCATCACACATGGGCAGGGCACTGTGGGACGCCCGCTGCAGAGCAGTGAGGAATATCTGGGGTTTTAGCAGCAATTCCCTCTGCTGCTCACACCTGACACCTGATGACAGAGAACCCTTGGCACACTGCCAGTGTTTGGATCATTATTCACGTTCACTTGGCAGCTCACCTTTAAATAATAGCTCATTTAAGTTTATTAGCCTTCCCAAATCCCAGAATACTAAATGAATCCAGTTAAGACAAAGACGAAGTGGTTTTAGATTCTTGACTCTCACTCTTCATGAATAAAAAAGGCTGCAAACTCTTTAATGAGTGTCTGATGAGCTAAATCACAGACAGATCAATTACAGCCTGCGAAGACAAACTGCTACGGATTAAATTGTTAAGAGTGGTACAGGGGATTGAGGGAGGAGGAGGAGAAGGAGGAGGAGAAGATGCTTTTGATGCATGTGATCAGGCCTGTAACACAACAGGCTCACAACAGTCTTCGAGTTGCACAAGCTCTAGCTTATGCTGGAAGGACCAGCCCTCTTTCCCTAGAATAAACAAAGCAAAAACCTTGTTCCCCTCTCAAATTGATGCCATGGTCCAGGCAATCTATTCAGGAGGACTCCTTAACTTCTACTGAAGCAAGTGTTGTTCAAAGATCCATCTCTGCATTCACCCTATTCCCTCTTTTTCCCCACCTCCTTCAAATCTTCCAACTTTTTAGCCCTTCCTTCAAAATATTTTCACCAGCTGGCTGTTTCCTCTTACTCTAAAATTAGAAATATGTCAAGTTTCTCTCCATAACAGCATGCAAACCTACATGCATTGAAAAACCCAACAGGCGTGCTGCCAAGTCACTGAAAAATATTTTGGCTCTTCACCTTTGAAGGCTGTAGAGCAGCAGACATTGGCTAAAATCCCAGTGCCTGCAGGTCAACCCCCTGGGAAGCCTCATTTCAGAGTACAGCTTGGGGTGTGCACTGCCATTAAATGGCATAAATAATTTTTTTTCCTTCCTGCTTCTCAGCCAGTATGAGTCACCATTTACCTCAACAGCCTTGAAGCCTTTTGTCAGTCTCAAGCATTTTAATTGATGTTTTCCCAGAAATGTTTCTGAGCACGTGGAGCCTGCACACCCTTTGTAAGTGTAAAGTAGACATTTATATTCAGCACTCTCCCCCTACATTTTAATCTGCTTTACAAGTTCTAAAATGAATTGGGAAGATTCCCCCTTCCAACATCTCCCTAACTGTAGGATTTCTGTTCTGCCTCTAAATAGTTCTCTTTTTCAGGCAGCCAATATGCTTATTGCTGTCACAAGAAAGGCTCCAGCCTGGGCAAGTTCCTTCCAGCTTACAGGGCTTAGGTACCTGCACTAAACATCCTTTGGTGGCCAGATTTAGTTTTAAATTGTCCCTAGAAGAACAGGCACCAATCCCAGTTCTGCCTTTCTTTAATATCACAGTGCTATGAATACTGCATGGCAGTTGCTCAGCTCTCCTACATAGGAACCGAGCAAAAAAAGCAAGTGGACCTCAAATGTGAGCAGCAGAGCCAAATCTGATCCACATGACACGTCAGACAGATTTACACGCACAAGGGCAAACCGCCGAGCTCCCTGCTCAGTTAAACTCCCACCCATCTCCATGGCAACTTTACTCCAGTAAAGCCTGACACAAAGCAGGCGGCTACTAACCACCCTCTCTACTGCTGGTTAGCAGACTTCGCAGGAACTCGCTGCTGAGAGTCCGTCGAGAATGTCACTGCCTCTAAGGATCTTAGTGCCTTTAGCACTCAGGCACCAGAGACACAAACAGGGGTCAGCGTACAGATTAGCTTTTCCCACCCCACATACATCCTCTGAAGAAGGCTACTATAATCTGCCACTTGCCAAGTTCCAAATTATTCTTCTGAGTGGTACTGGCCTCAATAGCTAGGCTGGTGGAAAGCCGTACAAGAGTAAGAGGAGACATATGCCATCAGCATCAAGCTCTCAGCCTTTGGAGAGCAATCTCCTTGTAGTTGTTTGGGACTATTAAACCCTCAAGAAACCACAGCTGGCAGGGGCTCGCTGCAGCCCACAAACCAGACACCAAGGGAAGATTAGTCATATTGCTGCAACATAATGGAACCTCACACATCAGGACAGGCGCCACCCCACCAGCTCCCATACGAAGACAGGCTGTATCTCAGACTTTCTAACAAGCATTCATTCATGTATTTAAAAAGCCATTTACCCATTCACTAATAGCCAAAACTTAGTCTTTAAGATTAGGTACAGCCCTACTGATACTCACAGCTTTTCTAGGGAAAGGACTTTGCACATTTCTCTTATAAAATTCTCCCTTCTATGCCCTTTAAGAATTTGGCACAGCTATAAAATATAAATATGAGAGTACATTCATTTTAAAAATAAATTATGCAGGTCTAATTGGGTGTGCATATGTAATCTTTAGAGAATTAATGGTATGTGAATTAGCCAGATGCTTGAATATATTCCTTAAGTTTGCAAAGAAAAGCAGAGAAAAAACACAAGACTTGGTTTTTTGTTTTTCTTATTTTAAATAAATCAGCATCTGTCTTGTAGCCTGTTTTCTCTGCAAGACTGTAGCAATGTGAATTGCAAGCTGTCCTTTTTTGCAGCCTCTAAATTATTTCAGATTTCCTTTAAAAAAGGAAACCTGCTTCCTGGCACAGATTGATATTGCAAATGTTACAGCTGCTAGTAAGAGCAATGAGAAATAGGAGTTACCAAAACATTAGCCAAAGACTGGTTTGGATCACACCATAAAACACAGAACACAAAATGCACATGTACACACATGGTGTGGGGGATGCTAGAGCAGGCAGCCTGCTCACTGAATGTTGGGTGGTACTCCACAGACAGGCTTTGCAGGATCTGCAGGAATACTGTCTCTAGCAGGAGTATCCTCCACACTGCACACCATTATCTCTCAGTCCACAGGACAACAAAAAGAAAATAGATCTGATCAATTAATTACTCTTTGTAATCAGGGGATTCACAGCCAGTACCTTCAATGGAGGTTTGGAAATTAATAACAAAAAAGTAAAAGCAAATAAAGCCCCATATGCATATTTTAGTACAAGTACAGTGTTTTTGTTATGGGTATCAATGAAAAAAGCAGCCTGCTGTGGACAGCCATGCCTGTGGAGGGCAGATAGAGGGCAATTTCTATCTGTATGCTGAAGGCACATCCAGAGTGAGTTTGTGACATCTGCTCAAAGACAGATTCTGTAGGTGGCATGGGGCTGCTATCAGTCACAAGGCCAATGAAAACCTATCAGTTACCAGCAACGGAGGGCAAGCCTTTCTTTTCCATTATGTATTATAGTTATAAGGATCCAAGGTAGATTCAGGTATTTATCAGTGACCTGCCATACTGATATGATGGAAATGGCACCTGGTACTCTGGGATGACCTGCTTAGTGGCTGTAACCTCCCACTTAGCTAGGTATATGCTACACATTAGTAGGGTTCAAGATGATCCACATGCCAGTCTTGTGGCTACAGCCTCTGAAGCTCTGCTCAGATCAATACACAGACAAACAGAAAGAAAGAGCTAGAAGTATCTTTGACATCTTAAACATCTTATTGTTTCCGAGCATCACACAATCTTATTCCAACACAGAACCAGAACTCTGTCTTCCATACTCCTAGATCAAACTAGTAACAGAAAATAGGAAGGACAACATGTTTGTCACCATGTGGCTCCACAGCATCTGAGAAACAACTGTCTATACCTGCTGCCTCTGTTACAGAAAGCCACTTGAAAATTCAGATCTTTCCTGGTTTCGTTGGTCACTGCACCTGGCAAATACTTGATGAAACCCAGACAAAATGAAGATAAAGTCTATGGTGCAACTCCAGACTAAATAAGCAGTTCCAGAAGGCACATTATTGGCTACGAATCACAATGTTTTATGGGATCTGACCTTTAAAACTGCATCAGTTTTCAGAACACTATCCCTTTCAGTGCCTAGACAAGAGCTGGAAGCATTATGAGATACAAGCTGGGCTGTATCAGAAGGACTTCTGTGTGCTGAAAGTTTGAAAGACTATTTGCAGACACAAGAATATGAGGCATCCTGTTCTCCCATTGCCAAGAAAAGGGCAAATTATCCATTAAAGTAAGAGACA